GCACCCTTGAAGGACAGGTGGAGAGGAAAACTTCCTCCTCGCTGAGCTATTCCTAGTCCCTTCCAGTCTACCTGCAATAGGCATGTTTTTGGGCATTGGGCCCGGAGCTAGACTCCCTTAGCTGTCAAGTATAGGCCACCCTGGGCTGTGTTTCTGCAGGGACTCCCTAAGCTGTTCCTTCCACTTCCTTCTTCTCAAAAATAAATCATTTGTATCTTTAGAAAAAGTTCCAGGTGCCTTGAAGTGATTTGGCAAGAGCCCACCCAACATCACAAAAATCACATTCTGAAGGCACATACAAATGCGGTCTCTTCTCCCCAGTTTATCCCTTCGGCTGACATTTTTGAGTGCCTACTATGTGCAAGCTCCAGCAAGGAAATAGCTGCGAACAGAGCATAGGGAGCAGACGGTGAAACTCTAGCCGTGGGATCCCTGGGTGGCGCAGCGGTTTGGCGCCTGCCTTTGGCCCAGGGCGCGATCCTGGAGACCTGGGATCGAATCCCACGTCGGGCTCCCGGTGCATGGAGCCTGCTTCTCCCTCTGCCTGTGTCTCTGCCTCTCTTTCTCTCTCTGTGTGACTATCATAAATAAAAAAAATTAAAAAAAATAATGTTAAAAAGAAACTCTAGCCATGACAGCCAGCATTTATTGTGGCCTGTTGTTTTGCTGCCCAGGGTAAGTGCATTATCACATTCAAGCCACAGAACCACCCTTTGTGGAAGGACTAGAATTAACCACATTTCACAGGGGAGAGGACAGACTCAGCAAGGAAACTGAGTACACTGAAAATGGGCATAGGGCCTAGAACAGCCCTGCCTAACACCAAGGCCACACGCTGCCCCACCACATATTGTGTATACAGGAGGGAGGCCCACCTAGTCTGAGACAGGGAAAGCCTCCTATGACCAAAGAAGAAGGTCAATTAGCTGGACAACAGAAGTGACGATGTGCAGAAAGACACAAGGCAAGAGTGCAAAGCATCTTTAAGGAAGCCAAGACATGGCTTGTGCATAGGAGAGTAGTGGGAGATGGGGAGAGCAAGGTGAACAGGGGCCGGACTTGCCTTATATACTTTGGGATCCTAAGTTCCTGGGAGCTTCGGCAGGAAAGGACAGGATCACATTTGCTGGCTGCTGCTGGAAAGATGAAAGGGAAGCAGGAACACCCACCAAGATACTGTTTAGAGCAATCCAGGCAAGTTGGTATCAGAGAGGAAAAGAGAAGGGAATGGCATCAAGAGAAGCCAGCAATTAGAAATAACAGAATTTGACTGATTAGACTTGTGGAGAAAGAGGCCAGAGTGACTCTCTGGGTTGAGCATGTGGGCAAAGGGTGTGCCAATTCCAAAGATAGGCCGTGTTGGGAAAGGAGTGGACATTGGAGAAAAGTTGAGCACCACTTGGGACATGTTGAGTTTGAGTGGCATGAAGATACTACTGCCATTTTGACAATCGTACACAAATAATTGTTGTACATGATAATCTGATCCATGAACATGTGGTGTCTTCCCATTTATTTAGGTCTTCTTTAATTTCTTTCAACAATGTTTTGTTTTCAGTGCTCAAGATTTTTACTTCTTTTGTTAAATTTATTCCTAGGTATTTTATTCTTTTCGATGCTATTGTAAATGGAGTTTTGTCACCTTTGCTAAACTTGTGTCTAGTTCTAATACTTTTAAAGTGTATTCCTTGGTATTTTCCATTTATAAGATCACACTGTCTGCAAAAAGATAGTTTACTTTTTTCTTTCTAATCTGGATGCCTTTTGTTTTTCTTTCCTAACTGCTTTGGCTAGAACCATCAGGACAATGTTGAATAGAAGTAGTGAGAGCAGACAATCTTGTCTTATTCCTTATCTTAGGGGGAATGCACCCAGTCTATCACCATTGAGAATGATGTTAGCTGGCCAACAAGCACATGAGAAAATGCTCTGCATCACTTGCCATCAGGGAAATACAAATCAAAACCACAATGAGATACCACCTCACACCAGTGAAAATGGGGAAAATTAGCAAGGCAGGAAACCACAAATGTTGGAGAGGATGGGGAGAAAAGGGAACCTTCTTGCACTGTTGGTGGGAATGGGAACTGGTGCAGCCACTCTGGAAAACTGTGTGGAGGTTCCTCAAAGAGTTAAAAATAGATCTGCCCTGTGACCCAGCAATTGCACTGCTGGGGATTTACCCCAAAGATACAGATGCAATGAAATGCTGGGACACCTGCACCCCGATGTTTCTAGCAGCAATGCCCACAATAGCCAAACTGTGGAAGGAGCCTCGGTGTCCATCGAAAGATGAATGGATAAAGAAGATGTGGTTTATGTATACAATGGAATATTCCTCAGCCATTAGAAATGACAAATACCCACCATTTGCTTTGACGTGGATGGAACTGGAGGGTATTATGCTGAGTGAAATAAGTCAATCGGAGAAGGACAAACATTATATGGTCTCATTCATTTGGGGAATATAAATAATAGTGAAAGAGAGTAGAGGGGAAGGGAGAAGAAATGGGTAGAAAATATCAGAAAGGGAGACAGAACATGGAAGACTCCCAACTCTGGGAAACGAACTAGGGGTGGTGGAAGGGGAGGAGGGCGGGGGGTGGGGGTGACTGGGTGATGGGCACTGAGGGGGGCACTTGATGGGATGAGCACTAGGTGTTATTCTGTATGTTGGCAAATTGAACACCAATAAAAAAAATTTAGTATTACAAAAAAAAAAACTTTGAAGAAATTGTGGTAGCAATTTTGAATAAATTGAGTTAACAATAAAAAAGAGAGAGAGAGAGAATGATGTTAGCTGTGACTTTTGGCAGATGTTCCCCTCTACTCCTAGTTTGGACTTTTTGGATTTATTTTTTTAAGAAATGGATATTGGATTTCACTAAGTGCTTTTTCTGCATCTATTAAGATGATCATGTGATTTCTGTCCTTAATTGTGTATGTGTGTGTGTATCTATCTATCTATCTATCTATCTATCTATCTATCTAATCTATCTATATTGGTATATAACATTGGTATATTACATTGATTCATTTTCAAATATTAAACCAACTTTGCATTCCTGGAATAAATTCCAGTTGGTCATGGTATATAATGCTTTTTTTATGTAGCTGGATTTGGTTTGCTGATATTTGGTTGAGATTTTCCTTCTCTATTCATAAAGGATATTGGTCTATCGTTTTCTTATGATGTCTTTGTCTGGCTTGGATATCAGCTAATTTTGAGTAAAATTAGCCTCATAAAATGAGTTGGGAAGTGTCCCTTCCTCTTCTATTTTTCAGAAGAGTTTGTGAAGGACTGGTATTAATTATTGGCTGGAGACATTTAAGGGTAGATATTCAGTTGGATAGAAGGGTCCAGAACTCAAGAGAGAGGATGGGGCTAGACACCGATTTGGAGGAGACAAAACAGTGGGCCGGCCTAGCTAAGAAGGGAACCTGGTAGAGGAGGCCCATAGCCAGGTAGGTGAGATTGTGTGGGAGAACAGGAGGAGAGAGCACCTAGACAGAGCTGTGAGAAACACGAAGGTTACTGGTCATGTAGAGAAAAGAAGGTTTTACTCTTTACAAAGGAGACCAAAGAGAGTACAGCCAGATTCTTGAAAGGAAGCCCAAGACAGTGGCTATGGGAAGGGAACATCCATACTTGGGCCACTGCATGGGTCAAGAACAAAGAGCACAGGGTCTCGGCAGCAAGATGATCAGGAACCTTGGCCAGTGACTTTGGCCACAGCCCTTTGGTGAGGCAATAGAGGAACCAGCATACTATGGGTTGAGGGGAGATGGGTACATGAGGAAGTAGAGGTCTTCAAGCACTTGTTTTACTGAAGGAGGAAAGGTTTCCTCTTTAGGCGCCTGTTTTGAGAATGAGACTTACCTGAAATCCCAGCTGGGCTTAGCAGCCAGTCCCTTTCAGAACATGAACATTTACTTGGGCTAATCCTCTAATTCCAAGGATGCCAACTTCTCTGTTTCTTTTAGGAAAGGGAAAGCCCCAGTCACTGAAAGAACTATAAGAAGGTGCTCACTTGAGGATTCTGGTTATGCTGATGCTGTTTACTCTGGATGGACTGGACATCCCATAAGCCTGGGAGGTTCTGTCCCATAGGAAATACTGCTGTTGGTTGGTTCTATAATGAGGAAAACCTCATTTGAGGCAGAGAGCCTCAAAAAGCTCCCCTCCTGAGCTTTTCCAACAGAAGTCAGGACTGGTTTGAGAACTAGCATCCTGCCAGACCAGGTAGGGAAGGCTGGCAACAGTTAAAGGGTCCCCGAGCTTCCTACCCTCTGCAGCCTGGCTTTTCCTCTAACCCCTTCAAGCTCTCCAGCCTCCTTTGCCAGTTTCATTTGGGGGAGAAGAGAGGCAGGTGGAGGCCTACATGGAAGGCTGGTCAGAGGGCTGCCCCAGGGCTGGTGTAGTTGGCCTCAAGCCAGCTGGGAGCTTACTCTTATGGCTTCTCTGTTCTAGGGGAAGATCCCGGTTCTGGGCATGCATTCCTAGGGGGCCTCATACAGTGCATACTCTTCCTGAAAGAGTCCACATGGGCTGGCACTTTGACCTTCCTTCCTGTCATCCATCATGAGAGAGGGGCAGAACTGGCTAAGGAGGGCAGTGCTCAGCCACACCCAAAGGCCTGGTCACTCAAGTGTCTCAAGTTTGGGTAGTGCCTGGTCCAGCTGTGTTCCTTCCCCCAATATAACTTCTGCCCCCTCCTTTTTCCTGGAGAGCTCAGCCCTGCTCTCTACCTTCTCAGGGGACACTTGGTCCCAGCAGAGAGCCAGGATATCACCCTTCTATCCCTGGGCCTTGGATTTAGCCCATGCCTCCTCACCTGGCCACCATGACCCAGTCCTTTGGGGCTGGGTGCTTCCCCTTTGCAGGAGAGAGGGGAGATGTGACCACATTCCAGGAACCTAAAGGGCCATTCAGTCCCAAGATAAAGAGATTCAGCCATTTATTAGGTAAGCAGCTTATTAGGTCTGGCCTAGCAAGAGGCTCAGGGTTTCCACTCGATGACTTTGATAGCAGTCCGGGCTGCCCGCCGCACCGCCTCACTGGTGTCTTCCTCGAGGGTGCGGAAGACGGGCACGTGAGATCGCAGAAACTTGCGGCCCTCAGGGGTCTCGGCCAGCATGGTGAGGGCCTTGGTGGCGTTCAAGCGTGCCTTGCTCAGGGATGAGCACAGCAGGTTCAGGAGCGGGTGGATGGCTTCTGCGTCCAGGGTGGCATATTTCCCTGTGGGCCACCAACACCAAGTGTCCCTCAGGGGGCTGTCTGTTCCATCTCTGTCACCTCAACCCAACCCTGGCCTCTGGTCTGTGTGGCCGCAGGAGAGGTGCCTTCTCTCACTCCCCTGTAGGCCCTGACACCTTCCTCTGGCCCTCCAGCCCCTCAACTGGCTTCACACCACCCTGATGCCTGTCCTGCAGTCCAGTTCTCTCAAGGGAACACAAAAATTAAAATCCAATTGACATGGCAAGTATTTCTGGAACACCTGCTCTGTGCAAGGCACAACAACTCATAGGTCTTTCCCTCCTGATCCTTACGGTTTATTGGGGGATGCAGACATTAATCTGTAAAGGAGATGCCCCCTCCTTAACCTTTGCCACCTTCCTGCTGCCCTGGCCTGCTAAAAGGCCAGGTGATTGCCCCCTGCTCCCAGCTTCCTACCACACTCAATGCACTCTGTGTGCTGAGATCCTGGTGGCCGCCCTCTGCCCTGCTGTTTCCCGCTGTCCCTTGGGTCAACACCCAGGCCCCTCCCAGAGGAGGCTTGGCCGCTGTCCTGTGCCCACTGCATTCCATGCTCCTCCAGTAGGTCATCAACCCTTTGCCACTCCTACCAAACTGTTCGCCAGAGGCTGAGACCTGAGGGCCAAGTCCCCACCACCCAGCACAGGGTCTGCCCCATGGCAGGGACGTGGGGACCCTTGGCTGGAGTGCCAACTCTGTGAAAAGTGGCCTCACATTCCAGCTGTTGCCTGGACCCATGGTCACCTCTCTGGTCCTCCAAGAGCTCCCACAGGAAGCCCAAGCAAGACACTACACTGAGTATGCCCTGTCTGAGCAATATGCATACAAGGTGCCCTGCCCTGGAGGTCAGCATCCTCACTGCACAATCAAAAGGGGACTGTGGCTCTGGAAAGGCCCCAACCTCTCCTCCTCTGGTATGTCTCAAATACCACCATTAGTGTCAAGTGGGGAATGGCTGAGAACCCCAGTTCTGGGGGACTTTGCAGCATGCTGATTGAGAATCAGAGACCCAGTCAGTCCTCCGTGGAACACCAAGAAGGCACAAGGCATGGGGCTGATGCAGGCATTTGTGGGCACAGGGAACGATAGACAGCTTTCAGAGGTCATGTGGGATGGCCTAACCTGGCCTCTAGGTGAAGAAACCAACCCCAGTCATTCCTGTGGCCAGGACTGGAGGACTTAGCATGGAAGCCTGACTGTTCCCCAGGTGGGAGAGGTCATCTCATACTCTTATTTGCTCCCCACCCCCACCCATTGAAAAAAATAATTTCGATTAAAAAAAACACCATGAAAGCAAGGGCTCCAGTGTTTGCTTAGGTTTCAGGATAACCAAACCAAGGATGGCAAACTACATAATTAATCCCAGAATCAAGGCTTACAAGGGGCCTGGGTCGGAAGCAGGAATTCCAGGCCCAGGGAATAGCCTGGCATGAAGGGACAGAGGTCCTAATGGGAGTGACTAGGGAGGGGCCACAGGTAGTCCCCCCATGGCCAGGAAGAAAGAGGGTAGAGCATGGGCCCAAACTTGAAGGGACTTCAATAGCAGGCCAGGAAAAGTGTTTTGGTAGGGCAGGGAAGGGGCAGTACTGGGATGTTGAGCACAAAATGAGCGTTCTGGAAAGCTTGCAGGAGACCCCGACTGCCCAGTAAACTACAGCCTGCATAGGAGATGCACCTGGCCAGCAGGCCACCTCACCTTGGGTGGTCATCGTGGCATACATGAGGGCCCCGGCGGCATTGGCCTGCACCTCCTCCATCTTGTCCTTCAGCAGGTGCACCAGGATGGGGATGACGTCATGCTGCCACACCTGGTTCTTGCCCTCCAGAGGGATGCTGGGCGAGAGAGGGGACAGCTGTGTGGCTTTGCTTGGCAAGGAGGTGGGCAGGGCTGAGGACCACCCCAGGGGACACCAGGAGGATGTATGTTGGGACCATCCCTGGCGGTCTGGGCCTGGCCAAGGGGTGCCAGGGTGCAAGAGAACACTGGTGTGAGGTTTGGGTCTCACCCCCATGCTGGGATGACCTAGGAGCACGGCTTGGGGCCACTGAAAGCAAAATCGCAGAGAAGCCAGGGGCTGATAGACCCTTGCCCAATACATGAAGACACCAGACATATCACCCCAGCCCCAAAATGGGGAGCAGCAGAGCCCAGGGGTGCGACCCACAGGGACACGTGTTTTGACTCTATGCAAGAGCCGGAGCTGCCAGAGATGGGCTAAGACCCAGGAGCTGCACCGAGCCGCCAGGGAGACATCCGTGCAGAGCCACCCTCATGGGAGAGACGTTGTAAGTCACTTCTAATCCTGGCACTATGTGAAGCTGTGAAAATAAATGTGATGGACTCCCCACGAGCTCCCTTTGGGAACTTGATCAAAGATGCAGAGTCCTGGGCCACGCCTGCCGGGATTCCGTGTGTTTGTTCATTCCCACGGCCAGGGCTGACTGAACACTGTGGCGGACCCTGGCCCAGACGCTAAGGCCAGTGCAGGGTTGCTCTAGCTCTGGCACGACTGACACTGGGGCTGGATGATTCTTTGTGGTGAGGGCTGTCCCATGCATTGTGGGATGCTAAGCAGCATCTCCAGCTCCCCGCCCACCCCTCGACGCCAGGAGCACCCTTCTCCCTCAAGTTGGAACAACCAAAAATGTCTCCAGACAGTGCTGCCTGTCTCCTGGGGGACTAGAGCTACACCGTGCCCCCCATTTTGAACACCTGCTCTCAAGCAGCAAGCAGAGCAAAGTCCTGCCGTCAGGAATTCCCCTCAAAAAAAAAAAAAAAACCCTCAGGGGTGACACATGAAACAGCAGGGAATGGTGAAAAGCACAGGCAGGCCTGGTGGAGGCCGTCATTGTCTAGAATGGGTATGGTCCTCAGAGGCTTCACTGGAAGGGGACCTCTGAGCAGAGACCAGGTGCTGATTGGTCTGGAGTAGGGTCCCGAAATCTCCATGTTCACAAGCTCCCAGGGGTCTGGATCGGGGGCCACACTCACAGAAATGCTGGCCCGGGTTTCTAGAGAGAATCCCAGCTGGAGGGACAACCAGGGCCCAGGGAGGCAGGAGGTGCCAGGACGAAAGCAGGTGGCCATACCTAAGGCATGGACTTGGGGGGAACAAGGGACCATCGTCCTGGGGAACCGTCTTTGTCTGGGATCACACACTGCCTCCCTTCCTCCCTCCCAGCTCTGAGGCATCATGTGCTCCCTCAGGTTCCAGGCCAGGATTTAGACTGTGATCCCCTGCGACCCTGGGTTGCCAGTGACTGGACACATTATGCTTCTGCTTCCTTTCCTGTAAAAGGTAATCAAGCACCTTCCGTGGAGGACTGTCGTTTGTAGACAATGCCTGGCACCTACAGAGCACTTAGTGACTGCTATCACCGCCACACTTCTGTGTTTGCCTTCTTCACGGGGAGGTGGGCTGGGGGGAACCAACCACCTCATTTTACCCAGGACTTGGGGGCTTCCTGGGATACAGGACTGTGAATGCTAAGCTGTCGGGCCAACAGGACAGAGGCCCCTGCCCAAGGGGACAGGGTCCTCCTCCCACAAGGCCCAAACAGGCTGGGGCGGGGAAGCCAGCCCTGAGGTGGATTCCTGGGAGCTCTGGGGCAGGCTGGCTTGCTGCAGGGCTGGGGGTGCTCAGGTGCCTCTGAGCCTCGGCAGAAGTGGAAGCCCGGGGTGCCAGCTGCTCCTGCCCTCCCTGCACTGTCCACCCTGTCCACGAGGGCCGGGCTCACCTGACCACAGTGAGCATGCAGGCAGCTTTGCTGCGAATGTCATCATTGGTGCTGAGGAGCTTCTGCTTCAGGAAGGGCACCACGCGGTTACTCAGCGCCTCAGTGGCATCCTCCAACAGGCAGGGCACCAGTGTGTCCAGGAGGAGCCCTTGGATCTCTTCCTCCTCCCTCTGCAGCTTCCACACCAGGGAAGGAATCAGGCCGCTGTTGACAATGCCCTGGGCTCCTGCGGGACAGGAAAGGGCACAGAGGGTGGGCCAGTCCTCCCTGCCCATTCTGGTGGCCAGTGGGAGAGGGGAGTCCTGCAGAGCTGGTGGGGGATGGGGGTTGCAGATGCCCCTCGCTGCCAGACCCTGGAGCAGCTAGTTGGAGCCTGTGGATGACAAGCTAGGGTGGGAACCATGCGGCCCTGGAGGACCCCCAAACTTTGGTCACCTATAACTGGTGGCGGGGGTGGGGTGGGGTGGATATCAGCCTTCAACAGGTGCTCAGGAGCCTGCGGAGCAGCAGCCATCCCTTGGAGAGCACAACAGCCACCCCTGCAGGCCCCAGGCACAGGAGAAAGTCCCTTCCCTTTGCCTCCTTGCACCAGAAGGAAGCGGGGGGGGGGGGGGGGGGGGGGGGGGGGGGGGACAACCAACCTCCTCCTTCTCACCCACGACATCTTTAAGCCACTAGAAACCCCAGGCCAATCTGGCCAGCCTTTGGGAAAGGAAAAAGAGCCAGGTATCAGGCCTGAGGCAGAAGTGAACAGGCCAGCATCTTACAGACAAAAAAGAGCTGTGCCTCTAAACAAAGGAGACAGGAAATCCATAGACTCTTGTGGTGGTGGTGGTGGTGGTGGTGTCTCAAAAACCTGCAGGAAGGGGGCTCCACACAGCTGGGGCACCAGGCTGGGAGAAGGTGGTGAGGTGAGGCTCCCCAAGGATACGTTCCCCCTCCCTCCTTCCAGCTCCTCCTCTCTTCCTGAGGGATGTCTGGAGGGGAACCCAGAACCAGGCCAGGCAGCCCTCCTGAGGGCCCCAACTACCCTGTGTCCAGAATTGCTTCTGAAGCAGCCATCACTGGGAAGTGAGCAGGCCGGTGCTGGGGAGGGCAGCCCCCCCCCCATGCCCCCAGCCTTCCTCCTGGCCCTTTTCCTGGCCTCCTCTGTGGCCCACACCACCCACCAAGAAGCCATATATATATATATATATATATATATATATATATATATATATATATACACATACACACAGCCCCCATGGAGGTGGCCACCAGCACCACTTCTCTCTTCCGCCTCCCAAGCTAAACCCTCTAATTTACCCTAGAGAGACAAGTAAACAGGTTAATTAGCCTAAAGGTCTCTAAGTGCCAATTAGCACCAGGGATTTTGTCTTTGAAGACATCACCCCAGCCTTCCTCCATCACTTCCTGAGGACATCAAATGGCAGGTGCCCTGGAGTGAGGGGGATGGAGAGGCACAGATGCATGTCCAGTGGCTCCCAGTGTCCCTGGCCAGCTTCTCATTGGGGTGTCATGGTGGAGCAACTAGCTCTGCCCCATTCTCAGGATGCTCCTGACACAGGAAGAGCAGTTGCCCATTGCTTTAAGGGCACTGCACTTCTTAAGGCTAAATCCACACAGATTTCAAAAAACGCTTAGCTTGGACTCCTAAATGTATCCAGCTGTGTGACCTTAGACAAGTTATTCTACCTCTCTGAGCCTGGTTTCCTCATTATGGAAACCAGCCTAGTGGGTAGGGAGTTGTGCAATGTCAATGGGTAGTAGGTGAGAACATCATCTCTGTAAAGAACTATTATGGGAGACCAGAATGCTTGGGCCTAGCATCCTAAGGAATTCCACCAACACTGAGACTCGGTTACAAGCAAAGGCCTGTGGGGTGAGGGTGAGAGGTGAGGTGTCATGTACAAAGACAAAAGCTGCACAGTCCCTGCACTGCAGGAACACAGCCCCTCTCTCCCCTTCAGCCTCTCCCTCCCCATCAGGCCATGGCTGGACCACACACCTGGCCTTCGGCTCTAGCTCCACTGTGCACTCAGGCACCTGCCCACAGGCTCCCTACTTGCCCCAGCCATGGGTCCAGCTCAGCCGCAACCTGAGCTGGAAACCCTCTTCCCAGCTCACCATGGAGAGGTGACAGTTGGACTTTGCAAGGATTTTGCTGGCTGGAAAGATTTTGCATAGAAGGAGAAGGTTCCTGGCTGGGGGACACCTGAGTAAAGGCCCCAGGACGAGGAATTTGCACGTCATCAAATTGGGGCTTGGTTGTGGCCTCACTTGAACCTAGGTCTGGACTTTCCAGAGACCCCTTCCTCCCAAACGTGTTGCTGGGCACAGGCTGGGGGGAAAAGGTAGAGTTAGAGAGTCGAAATCAAACTGCCAGAGGTAATCAGCTCCACTACTCCCTCCCTGGGTGAGGAAACCAAGGCCCTGAGAGGCAATTCAAGTGCCTGAGGTCACACAGCAGACAGGGGCAAAGCCAGGGCCCTGAGCTATTTGGGTTTTCTCAGGCATTTGTCTCGGGCTTCTACTCCTAGAAATGCTGAGCACCAGGACCCGGGTTCATTCTGAGACAGAGGGAGAAGATTAAAAATAAAACGCGTGCCGGGTGTGCCTTTCTGCTCGTTCACTTTGCTTTACAGCTAAAAGGAGAGTTGCAGGCCTGGCTATTTATAACTAACCCAGATCTGCAATGGTTTGTTCAAGTTGGGGCTGGGGGGTTGCACAGACCCCAAGGAAACAAACTGGAGAAACCCACTCAGCCCCACCACAGCCTGAGAATCGGCCAGCGGGGCTTGGGAGAGCAGGTCAAGCCGGGAGAAGAGCCAGACAGGACGGTGCTGTTGCCAGCATCCAGAGACTAGCAAGACACCACCACCCCCATCATCAGGGGGTGGGGAGACCAGCGGCATAGTAGGCCAGGACCCGGCACCACAACACAAGTTCGTGCGCATGTAGAACGCACATGGAATTCCAGGGTCCTAAGGACCCTGGACTTGCAGGAAGGGAGGCCCAGGGGAGCTGGACCTAATGGGGCCAAAGGGCAAAGGCATGAGGCATGGGGCATACCTGGGGAGGGCCCCGGGTCTGGCATGGCTGCTGTGCCATGATGGATTCTGTGGTTGAGCCAGAAAGCTCCACCAATCCCTCCAGAATTGAAGGGACATGATGCCCATGGCACAGAATGCCCTGTGTTTGAAGTTTGGTCATTTCCTGGAGGATGGCCTGACACCACCTACAGAGGCCACTCCTCAGCCATCTGTCCCTGCTGGATTGGTGAAGTATGAGGCTCAAGCACCAGGGCCTTCCTCTTTCCACCACAGGGCCCCAGCTGTTGTTCTGGTCCTGTTTTTCCGGCTAATAAGGACTGAGGATGGAGCATCTGCACCTCATCGGGACCCACCTGTCCAGCATTAGCCTCATGTGGTCCCTGTGCCCTGAACCACTGGCACACAGACCCCACCACACCTGTGCCTACCTTTGCTCATGGATACACATCCCTGTCCTTAGCTTACGTGGCTTCTCAATGGCACATGACATGCCTGACCCCATCTTACCTCTCAAGACCCTGTCTTACCTTCCTGAGGAGCCAGGACCCTCTACTCACTGGTTTTCCGGCCACCTCTCCCACTGGTCCTCCATCTGCTTAGCAAACACTGTCCTTCCTCCAGCATCTCCTCTCATGTGGGCCTCCTCCTTGCCCCCCCCCGCCCCCACTCTGTCCCTCTGTCTTGGCTGCAGCCACCACATGGCCCTCTCCTGGCACACTCTGTCGCTCAGTGATCCTGCAGCCCTACGCTGAACTCGACTTCATGGAGAATCTCTGCTTTCTTATTTTCTGAGGACTGACCAGTTGACATTTTTATTATTTGATTCTGCGTATTAGGACAGCATACATTATGGGACCATGCGTATTGCAAATAAATATGAAACAAAAACTTGTCATCCTCCTTCTCAAATTTAAGAAGCAAATCCTAAAACTCTCCAGTGGTTCTTAGGCTGACATCCCCAATCTCAGAGAAGGGCCACTAGCCGGTACAAACGTCCCCACTCCAGCCTTGTATCCTGGCACTCACACCTGCCTGCTGCCTCCAGCCACGCTGGTCTTCCATGGGTTCCTGCAAGGCCTCATGGCTCCTTCCTGCCCAGCACCTTCCCCAACTTGGGATATGCTTCTCTCTTGCCCTAGGTCACAGGCCACTTCCATCCTGCTGTCTCTCAGTGCCCATTCTTCCCCTGCCTTGCCAGATGTCCCTGGGGCCCTGGTGGGTCTCCTCCATGGGGCCTCACACAATTGTAATGGTGGATTATTGCCCCGCAGACAGGAAGGTCTACCAGGCAGCGCCGGGCGTGTCTAAATCCCAGAACTATCCCTGCGCAGAGGAGGTCATCAGGAAATGATTGCTGTATGAAGAATTACAATCATTGGTGGCCGCCAGGGTCAGGTGAGGCAGGCATTAGCCAGCCCCATGGGGCTGCTTCATGGGCTAGCCTCTGATCTCACGCGTGGACTGCTGCAGAGGGCCAGCCTACACTAACATCTAGGTTTGCCCCTGCAAGCAGCTCCATTCCGATCTCAATCCTATAACAGAACTGCCCTCGCCCATCTCTAAACATGTGCCCACGTGTATTGCCCCTCAGAATCACTCTCCAAGGACAGTCTATTAGTGTCTCCCTTGAGAAAGAAGGAAACTGAGGTTCATCCAGGTGAAATAGCCTCCCCCCCAAAGGGTGTACAGGTAGCAGAGCTGGGTCTGTGCTTTCCCCCCATACCCTCTCACCTGGGGATCCACACCAGGGCAGGGCCTGTGCCCGCCATCTTCCTGGTATCACGGGAGGCCACTAGCTTTTGAGTGGTCCTGGGAGCAGAGGCCCAGACTGACCCAGCCGGGGGGTGGTTTGAAGGCATGCACCCAGAGGAGCCCCTCCACTGTTAGCCACCTTCCTTTGGTTCTCACTGGCCACCTCCAGCGAGATTCACCTCAGGATGCCCATCCACCAACATCTGTCCTATCCCTGGCAGTTTAGGTAACTTCTTCACAGGTTAGCCTCGTGTGGTCCCCGTGCCCTGAACCACTGGCACACTGACCCCTCCCACACCTGTGCCTACCTTTGCTCATGGGTACACATCCCTGTTCTTAGCTTACATGGCCTCTCAATGGCACATGATGTGCCTGATGCCGTCTTACCTCTCAAGACCTTGTCTTACCTTCCTGCGGAGCCAGGACCCTCTAGAGACTCACTGGTTTTCTGGCCACCTCTCTGAGCATGTGTCACACAGTAGGTAGTACAACAGTTTCGGTCTCACAGCAGAGGTAACATTCCCAGAGAGGTTATGGAATAATGTTGCAATGACACAGTGTCCAGCCTGCAGAACCAGACCCCCAGCCCTGCCTTCTGACCACAAACCTGGGCTGGGATGACCACCCAATCCGCCTCTGTCAACAGTCAATTCCAGTGCTTCTGCCCAGGGTGGGGTGATACCCGTAATGTGACCATGAGGGAGTAAAGTGATAAGGAAGGTGTTGGCGGGGAGAATCTGCACTTTTACCAGGGATGCTCTAGAATATGCAAAGATTCAAGTTACAACGATGGCATTAATGTCTTGGCTCTCTGGCCCAAGTCTTTTAAGCACGGGAGTGAGGGGCTCCTGCTTCTGATGCCCACAGATGGGCTCCCCCCTAAAATTGGAAGGCAGAATTTGGCAGACTGGCTCAGGTGCATTTCACTGAGCATCCGATGCCTTCTACCCTCTACCAGCTTCCCCAAGGAGGCAATAGGGGATCCTGGCCTTCACTGAGCCGGCTTCCTCCCACCTCTTTGATGTGGGGGACAGATCCCGGGCCCTTCTCCCTCCCCTCCTCTTCAAGGCAGCCTTCTGTGGCCAGGATTGCCAGAGGGGGGACCCTGAGGAGCCTCTACACATGCGGGGGGTGGGGGGGGGAGCGAGAAGCAAAGATGACTAAGGTCCCTCCCATCGCTGCACTAACCTCACCGGTGTAAACCTTTAGGGTTTGCATAGCCTTTCACACGTTCTAGCAGATTGTCGCGACAATTCAGGGAAGCAGGCGCCACCAGCCCCAGTTTGCAAAACAGGCTCAGAGGGGTCAGTTGGTTGCCCAAGGTCGCGGGGCTCAGAAGGGGCCGAGCTGGGTTCGAATTCAAATCGGGGGCGCAGAGCGGGGGTCTGGGGCGGGGGCGGGGGGGACGCGGTCTCCTCGGCCGCAGCGGGCTCCCCGGGCCGCCGGTGCGGGCAGCGCGTGCCGGACTGCGGCGCGCGCGGAGCCGCGGCCCCGCCCCCGCCCGTTGCCATTGGGCCGTACAGGCATCCGTCTGCCGCCCCTGCCCAATGAGAGGAGAGCCGGCGCTCGTGGCGGGGCGGCAGCGCCCAGCGCCCAGCGCGTGGTCACCGGCGGGCGCGCGGCACCCCCGCCCGCGGTTGGCCTGGCAACGCGCTGCGCTCCGGCTCCGCCCCCTGCCGGCGGCGGCGCGGCGCGGCGCGGGGCGGGCGGACCCGCGGGCGGGCGGCGGGCGGCGCGGGAGGGCGGGCGGAGGGAGCCGAGCCGGCCGAGGGTGTGCGCCGCCCGCGGTCCGGTCACGTCCCCGCGCGGTGCCGCCGCCCGCGTAGTGCGGAACCAGGGCGCCGCGGCCCGCGCTCGCCGCCCCGCCCCGCCCCGCCCGCCCCGAGCGGCTCGGCCGGGGCTCCGCGCGGCGGCCCGGAGGTGAGTGAGCGGACCCGCGGCCGCGGGGCGCGGCGGGCCCTCGGGGCTGGGGGCGCGGCTGGGGCGCCCTCCCCACCCCCACCGGGGCCCCGCCCGGGCCTTTGTGCTGGGGATGCGCCCGGGCGGGGGGCGCCGGGGAGCGGCGGGAGGGATGCCCGGGCGGGGATGCCCGCGAGGTGGGCAGGGGCGGCCGCGGGCCCGGCAGGTGCCGGGAAGGGGCGCCCCGGGCCGAGGGGCGGTGGAGGGGCGGCCGCGGGCCCGGGAGGTGGGCTGGGGCTGCCGCGTCGGGGGCCCTCCCCTCAGCCGGCGGTGCGGAGCCGCGGCCGGGCCGGGCGACCTGCGGGAGGGGCGCTGAGCCGGGGTCTCCCTCCCGGGGGAGCGGGGAGGAGGCGACCCCGGGCGGCTGCAGCGCCGACGCGTGGCCTTGGCCGAAACCGAGGAGCGGGCCCCGGAGGCCTGGGCCCGGGGCCGGGCGGCTCGCAGTTTTCCGTCATCGGTCTTGCAGAGAGCAGGTTCCTTGGAGGCATTTAGAGCAAGAGATGAGTATCGACCTGCTGCGATTGTGCTGTGCTCCTGGCTCAATATTTTTTTCCCTTAAAAGGCGGTGGGGGTGTTGGGGGGTGTGGGGGGGGAGGGCCTCGGGGCTGGGGCTCCGTATCCTGCGGGAGATCCAAGGGGGCTCTGTCTGCAGGGCGGTGCTGAGCCTGCCTGGGTGATGATGGCAGGAATCTGCCTAGGCCGAGAACTGGGGTTCTCTGTCACAGGAGAGGAGAGGATGGGGAGGCAGTGCGAGAGCAGGGTTCCCTGGAGTCCCTGTCTCAGCAGGGAGGGACCCGCCTGGTAGGCAAGGGCTGCCTGTTTGGGTGAGGCAGCCCAGCCCCTGATGGGCTCCCTTCTGCCCAAGTGATTTCCCTGCTCTGGGGACTGAGTCCTGCTGCCTTGGGTTCTGTCTGGAGGAGGCTCCTTGGCCAAATTCAATTAAACAAATATTTACTGAGCATTTGCTCCCCCAGAGCCTGGCGCTGAGGTGGGAGTGGACTGGGCCTGCCCTCCTGGGACTGACTCAACACCCCCCCAGGGGAGGAATGGCTCTGCTCAGATAACCCAGCCCTGAGTGTGGGTGCCGGGGGCCGCTGGAGGCACCTCAGAGATGATCTGGACTGGGGTTAGGTGGGCTTGTGGGCCAAGTGACATTTGAACTAGAGCTTGAAGGACAGGAGCACAGCTGGGGTGGGCACTGTGCTGAGAGGAGAGAATGGACCAAAGCACAGAGAGGGCACTCAGGCAGTTTGGGCCTGGTAGGATGTGCTTGGGAAAGCATAGGTGGCACGGCGGGAAAGGTGGGTGGGGGATGCACAGGGCCTGTGGGAGCGGGCCAGTGGAGCACCTCATTGCTTGTTAGCTGTGGCTGTTCCATGGAGGCCGCGGTTTCTTCCTCTGTGAAAGAGAGCACCTCTGGGACCTGGGAAATGCGGTGGGCCTGGGGACGAGCTTGAGAGACTCCAGGGGGCTCCTTGTGGCCCAGGACTACTCTTCCAGGCACCTTGTCTCATGGGCAAGGCGGGGGTACTGGGTAACGAACAGCCTGGCCCCTTTCCTCACCAGGATGGAGAATGATATTTAGCCGGTGACTCTGTCTCTCTGGGGCGTGGACGTTTGTGAACGTCCCAAGGAGGCTTGGGAGCCTCTGTTTAGGGGCTGATCTAGGGGCTGATCGCATGGGAGGCTCAGATGAAGTGGTGTGCCTTCAGCATTCCTCATGCTCCGGGACAAGACGCAGGCATTTGGTTTAAAATTCTGGTGTGTTCCTCTAACAGACATGGATTTTCTGCGACAGGAGGTGGATAAGACGTGGTCCCTCCCCCTCAGAAGGCCAGTGTCACTTTCTGCCCTAGATCTGCTTGCTTGCTCGCTCTCAGGGATGTTTTCTCTCTTCCTCTGAAGGGGCTGTTTGTTATTCATCTGTATAGCATACCCCCATGGCCCCCAAACACACACCTACTTTCGGCTTTTGGCCAAGGCCCATGTTGCCCCAGTGAGAGCAGGGCCTGTCTGCCCTCATGGGGGCACGGGCTATGCCAAGAAGGATGGAGCCGCTTCACCCTCGTGCCTGTCGCCAGGCCACATTCTGGGGGCCAGCTATGGGACTCTAGATTTGGGACACAGAGTGAATCCCTCCCTCTACCCCCAACTTCTCAGCTCTTCTGTTTCCTGGAATCTCAGGAATTCTTTGGTCCAGATCTCAGGAGCTTCTAGAGTGATTCCAGAAACTTCTGGGTAACCAGGTGGTCCTGGCAAGGCTGCCCAAAGTCCCCATAGGAGGCCAGTAGGATGGAGGACCAAACGGTGGCAAGGCTGGCCTGACACTCAGGGCGTGGCCTGAGCAGCCTCAACCTAGCTGTGTGGTTTTCTCATGTGCACACGCACGTGATGACAGCATGTGCCGGCCGTGCCTTCCTTCCCTGGACGTGAAGATGTGGTGCTTGCTAGCCCTCAGAAGACCTAAAATGCTGTGTGGCTCTAGGGCATTCTCCTGGCTGCTGACCATGGCTGGGCTTACAGGAACTCTGGAAGAGATAGATTAGCACACTGCTCTCCCACAGCCCCAGGAAGGAAACCTGGGGTAACTGAGCCTCTAGGCACAGGCCTGCAGGCTGTGGTTGGCTGGAAAGAAGGCCAAAGGAAATGCATAGAGGCATCAGGACAGATGCTGAGAATCAGCCCCAGCGTGCTTGCCTGACACAGCTTAGGCACACAGGGGACTGACACGGGACGGCCCATACTCCCCGAGGTCAGGGGCCTCCAGTTGAGGCCTCCAAAGACCTCGGTCAGCCTCTGGCCCTGTCACCCCCACCCAGCCCCATCCTGACTGAGCTTCTTTGTCTTCACCCATAAACAGAGCCAAGTGTTCCCTGCCCCGTCCCCACACCATCCCTGCACAGGTCCTCTCCGTGCATTTGGCCCCTTTACACATGTCCGCACTGGCAGGGGAGACGCTTCGCAGGAGTAAGCTGACAGGGACTAACCACAGGGACCATCTGATGGCTCCTGGAGCACACAGGAGACGTCAGCTCTCTGTACAGAGCCTGAGGAGACGGAAATGATTCGCACATTCATTCATTCCTTTGGCTGACACTTACTGGAACCTGCCAAGGTCTCGGCACTGTGCCAGGAACAGGGAAATGGCAAGGAGCAGGACAGACACAGAGTCGGCCCTCATGGTGCTTGCAGCAGAACCAGGGAGGCTGGCACAACACCTGTGTGGCTGGCTGCCAGGTAAGGTAGGCGCCATGAAGAGAACGGAAGAAGAGAGTGGGGACGGGGAGGGCCAGGAGGCCGCTCTGTGTGGAGGGGCCATTGGCACGGTGCCGCAGAGAGATGGGTAAGTTGTGACCCATGGGGAAGAGTGCCTGGAGAGGGGATGGCAGGTGCACAGCTGCCGGGGGCCCCACCAAAAAGCCGGGTAACCAGAGCCCCACAGGGGGAGGTGGCTTACGGAGCAGGTCAGGTAGGACTGTGTAGGCCCTGGTGAGATGCAAAGCCCTGGGGCGTTTGGAGCAGAGGAGAGACTCCCGCTAATTCCACTGTTAAAAGGCCTGTGTGGCTGACGGCCATGGGGGCAAGGCTAGAGGGCCGTGAGGGGCTGCTGAGCCAGGGCAGCATGAGATGAGCAGTAGGAGTTAGGAGGAGTGGTTGGAGGGAGATTTATTTTAAAGAGGTCCTGCTGACGGAGAAGAGGCAAGCACAACTCTGGAGGGACGGCAGTGGCATTGGCAGAGAGGGAAGACTCGGACTCCCTCATGCGAGGCAGGGAATTGGGAGTTGGGTTGGCCACTGGTAGATGTAGCCATTATGTGGTGGTCAGAAGGGAGAGTGAGGCTGGAGGTAGAAATCTGGAGTCCTTGGCACCAATGTGTGGAAGCCAGGGACTGGTGAAGGTCACTTGGGGATCAAGGGTGGGTGGGACCAGAGGACCTGGGTCAGACCCCAGGTCCCTCACCCCTCAGAGCATGAGCTGAGAAGGAGCTTCCAGAAAGGAGAGATTGAGGATTAATGAGCAAGTGAGGTGGGAGCACGGTCATGATGGCAATGTGGTGGGGGGCTGGGGGACACAGGGTAGTGCAGAGGAAGAGGGTGTCCCTGAGAGGGCGGGTCTCCTGAGGCAAACATCAAGGCACACGTGGGATGCGGTGCGTGGGGACTAAACACGGTAGGTCCAACCACATAATTTGTGAGGCCCTTGTTAAAAGTTCTTAAACCTTTCAAGGCAGCAGAGCATTAACCCAGGCCTGGGGCCCTGTTGGGCTAGCACGCGCTTGCCCACGAAACCTGGTTGTAGCCCAGGGACGGCAGTGCCTTGGGCCTGCCACCCAGGCTCCCTTTCACTTGCGTGCCTTGGGTAGGTGGGCAGGTGGGCAGGTGGGCTGTGTTTGGGACTTGGGACCACTCGGGTCAGTCGGAGCCAGCCTGCAAGCCTCACCCCCGCCTTCTGCGAGTGTCGCTTCCTCCCCCTCTGTCCTTTGACGCCCAGTGGCCTCGGGCAGGAGGCACAACTCAAAGGCTAAGGACTGGGCTGTCCTTTGGCAGGACCCTGGTGAGCAAGGCAGGTGGCTTCACACAACAATGGCTTCCTTGAGTTCATCTCTTTTCCAAAGGAACCTGCTACATCACAGAGTTTTTCGTTATTTGCTTCTAAATTAAGGTATAACTCTCTTTTAGAGACATCCCTAGAGAATCCATCAAAAAGTGCTAAGAAGCGAGACTGTTAAAAACCACGGTGCAGGGAGAGGCCTTACAAACAGTGTCAAGCCCAGCGTTCCTTCCTTCTAACCAGAAACACACCCGTCCCTGAGGGCTCATCCAAGCCAGTCCATGCCTCTCCCGGCTGTGCAGCAGTGGTCAGAGCAGACCTTTCAGGGAGAGACCCCGCCCTCCCGAGCCGCCCTCCCTGGCCCCTGGGATGAAGTGTACTGCGGACAGGGTTCTGGGACCTGAGCCCC